TTTTTGTGGATTGTTTGAGGATTTTTTAGGGATTTTTTTGGATTTTTAGGGGTTTTTTGAGGATTTTTTAGGGGTTTTTTAGGGATTTTTTAGGGGTTTTTTAGGGATTTTTTAGGGATTTTTTGAGGATTTTTTAGGGATTTTTTAGGGGTTTTTTGGGGTTTTTTTGGGATTTTTTAGGGTTTTTTTACGGGTTTTTTGGGGATTTTTTAGGGGTTTCTTGAGGATTTTTTAGGGTTTTTTTGAGGATTTTTAAGGGGTTTTTTGAGGATTTTTAAGGGGTTTTTTAGGGGATTTTTGGGGATTTTTTAGGGATTTTTTGAGGATTTTTTAGGGGTTTTTTAGAGATTTTTTGGGGATTTTTTGGGGATTTTTTAGGGGTTTTTTGGGAGGTTTTTGGGGATTTTTTGGGGATTTTTTAGGGATTTTTTAGTGCTTTTTTGAGGATTTTTTAGGGTTTTTTTAAAGATTTTTGGGGATTTTTTAGGGATTTTTTTGGGACTTTTTAATGAGTTTTGCGGATTTTTTTGGGGTTTTTTAGGGATTTTTTGGGGATTTTTTATGGGTTTTTTTGGGATTTTTTGAGGATTTTTAGGGACTTTTTAGGGGTTTTTTGAGGATTTTTTAGGGATTTTTGGTGGGATTTTTTAGGGATTTTTGGTGGGATTTTTGGTGGGATTTTTTGGTGGATTTGGGAGCGGGGGGTGTGTCTGGATTCCTGGAATTCCCGGAATTCCTGGAATTCCCAAAATTCCTGGAATTGCACCTGGGTGGTCATGCTGGATGTCGGTGTTGTGGGGTTTTTTTGGATTTTTGGTGGGATTTTTTGGGTGGATTTGGGAGCGGGGGGCGTGTCTGGATTCCCGAAATTCCCGGAATTCCCGGAATTCCTGGGATTGCACCTGTGTGGGCAGGATGTCATGATGGATGCCAGTGTTGTGGTTTTTTGGGGATTTTTGGGGTTTTTTGGGATTTTCGGTGGGATTTTTTAGTGGATTTGGGAGCGGGGGGCGTGTCTGGATTCCCGAAATTCCCGGAACTCCCAAAATTCCCGGAATTCCCGGGATTGCACCTGGGTGGGCAGGATGCCGTGCCGGATGCCGGTGTTGTGGGTGCCGGTGCCGATGACTCCGGCCGCCGTCACATCGGACACGGCGCCTAAACTGGGACGGGAAATTCGGGATGAGAATTCCCAAATCCCAAACCCCAAAAACCCCAAATCCCAAATCCCAAACCCCAAAAACCCCAAATCCCAAATCCCAAACCCCAAATCCCAAACCCCAAATCCCAAATCCCAAAAACCCCAAACCCCAAACCCCAAATCCCAAAAATCCCAAACCCCAAATCCCAAACCCCAAACCCCAAATCCCAAATCCCAAATCCCA